TAACCTAGTGGATCATGTGGTTACACATTTGGATAAACGCTTTAGGTGTCTTGGAATATTTTTAGACTTGGCCAAAGCTTTTGACACGGTGTCAATTCCGCTCCTTCTGCTTAAACTTGAGGCTCTGGGTATCAGAGGACAACAGCTAAACATGTTTCAGAGCTATCTGTCGGGGAGGTCCCAATGTGTAAAAATTGGCTCCTACGTAAGTAATCAGCAACCAATCTCTATGGGAGTTCCCCAGGGAAGCATTCTTGGTCCTACACTATTCCTCGTTTATATCAACAGTCTCTGCAATCTAAAAATTGATAACTGTAAAATTTTCTCTTACGCAGATGATACAGCCCTAATTTTTACAGGTATAGATTGGACCGAAACCTACGGATCCGCACAGTCTGGGTTTAATGTAGTTAAAAAATGGCTAGATAATAATCTACTAACACTAAATATTGAGAAGACGAAAGCTATACCTTTTTCTATCCGTAATTGGATGGTTTCACAAGATACTCCATTTCAGATAGCCGTTGATCATTATTCTAATCATATAACTAATCCAACCTTTCTAGACACTACTAACACTATTAGATATCTTGGAGTACAGATTGACTCTAACTTAAATTTCAAATCTCATATTACCTTATTATCGGCACGTATACGCAAACTTATTTATGTTTTCAAGCAGCTGCGCCATGTAGCAGATGCTAATATTATGAAAATGGTATATCTTGCTCTTGGTCAGGCAGTTTTAACTTACTGTATCTCTACATGGGGAGGAGCTGCGAAAACATTTATCATATCTGCAGAACGTGCACAAAGGTCGATTCTAAAGGTAGCATGTTTCAAACCATATCGTTTTCCTACTCAGGAACTTTTTACCTATTGTCAAGTCCTCACAGTCAGGCAACTTTTTATTCTTCACACTGTGTTAAGACAACATGCAATCACACCATATAATAACACTTCCACCAGACGAAATCACATAGTCGCTAAGGGCTGTTATCTCAAAACTGCATTTAGTCATAGGTTTTTCTGCTTTCTTGGATGTTTTCTTTACAATAAACTTCATGATAGGCTCAAAATCTATGAATTAAATAAATATGAATGCCGGAAGGCACTTGTGACCTGGTTACTTGACCTTTGTTATGAGGACACGGAGGCTTTGCTTATTCCAATTACTTAACTTTGCCGTAAATTGTTCATTAAAGTCCACATTTATATTTTAATACAGACCCACACATATATAATTTAGGCAAATAGGCAAAAGCATGTATAATAAACACACACACACAAACACACACACAAACACACACACACAAACACACACACACAACATACTGTCTAGTCCTAGTTTTTATTTGTTTTTATTAATTTTCTACTTGATTTTTATTAACTTAGCTTCATTCACCTGCACTCTATTACTTAGTATTGTTAAGTCTCCTTTTGCTAGGGTTGGGGCCTGGTGACTTGTAACACAGGTGAAATACCTATATCAAGCACCAGCTCTCACAATATACTATGTAATGTACTTACTAAGCTTGATATTGTTTTTGTATTTTGTGGTGAGTAATAAACACATTTTTATTATTATTATTTATTATTATTATTATATTATGGAAATGGCATTTGTATCTGAATACACGAAGGCGGACACGACTTTTCTCATTTCTAAATCCAAGATGGCGGACACGTCTTTTCAAATAAATGCAAAATGGGAATCGTTTTCGAGGTATTCATCACGAATATGGCATTTATTTCTAAATCCAAGATGGCGGACACGACTTTTAAAATAAATGCAATATGGGTATCATTTTCGAGGTATTTGGGGGTGCTCATTACGAATATGGCACTCATTTCTAAATCCAAGATGGCGGGCACGATTTTTCATATAATGGCAGGTTGGAGATCGTTTTCGAGGTATTTGGGGGTGCTCATTAGGAATATAGCACATATTTCTAAATCCAAGATGGCGAAGAATTAGAAGTCTTGACCGCCATCTTGTATTCAGATATACATGCTATTTCCTTATGGTTTACCAAAAATACATTTTTGAAAATTGTTGTCAACCATTTTGGATTTAGAAATTATTGCTACATTCGTAATAGAATAGAATAGAATAGAATCGTTTATTTCATGTTATCAATGTCACAATATTGCAATTGGAAATACAACGTCAAGGGATAACTATGATCGTCAGTAATAAAATTATAATAATAATAATGAATATAAAATAAAGTAGTATAACTACTGCTTATCGAATAAAATAAAATTAAAATTGTTTCAAAAGAAACTCATCGACACTGTACAATTCAATATCCACTCTAAAACACAATAAGCACTCTAAAACTCCTCGAAAGCGTCTATAATTCTCAATCGTTGCTGTCGATCGACAATGTCGAGCAAATCTATAGGCACCGTATTAAATACTACCCAATTTTTATTTAACTCATATATGAACAAAAACCTACAAGCGAGTTTAAGTGCGACTATCGAATTTGAATATATAAATAGCCTGATATTATCTGTGGGTATGTTTACATGAAAAGTACACGATAACAATAAAGAACCTGAATTTGAAAGTTATTTATACACGATTTTGGAGAACTGACGATGACTTTTTAGTCAGTGTTAGTTTCCTGAAATAATTTTAGTTAAGAACTTTTGAATCTGGGCAAGACAATTTTTTTAAATGAGTGTATGAAGTACAAGAATAATGATTTTTCACATGAAACTAATGAAGGCAAATACTAAATATATTTCGTAAAAATAGCTAACGTAAATTCCCTACAATGTTGTTGCAGCGGTGTACATTTGTAGAAAGTTTGTAACGGTCGCGTTATTGCCTATTCTCAAAAAATTACGTAATATAATTATTTTGAAACAGAATAGAGAAATGGGGAGAAAAAACCCGTTACTTTGCAACATTTTCGTATTTTGTTGCAACGAAATTAATTTTCTGTTTTAGTGAATATGTACATAAAAATACAAGTTGAAACGCGTTACTTCCTTGTGGAATGTGATGTTAGTGTCTGTTTTATATTTGTCTGATCTATTTTTAAACCCAATTACCGCACATTTCGTCATTTTTAGCAAAAATTTTTGAGCTGTTCGCGGTGCAACTTGACTTTGAGCACTGACAGCCCGCTCGCTCGTGTGGGCCCATAGGGCGTCCTACAATTTGCCTCACTTAGCGTGTGCGGGCTAGGTTTCTATGCGTTATCTAAGATCCCAAGACCCTTTCTACAGAACGTGATCACTTTAGTAGAATCGTACGTGAAGCTATTGAAATTAAAAAACACCGTAATTTCAACAACAACAACAACAGAGAAGATGGTTTTAAGCTTTCATCGTCATGGGATCCAGTTATCAGCAATTGTAAACGACATCAAGCATAGTACGCCGGATGTCGTGAGTGTTGTGTGTCGGGCTAGTGAGAACCCTAGTGCACAAATAATAACGAATAACAAGTGCGGGTAGTTAGAAAAACTCGCACACGGCTAGAAGATACTGGCACCCGCCTCTTCGGTCCCTTCAAGACCATGGACGTTGCAATATGTCCGAAACGCCGAGGTAAATAAAATATGTTTTATATGTGATTAAGTCCCGAATTAAAAATCAAATAACTTTGTCTCTTTGTTTTATTGCTCAGTTCCTCCCTTGGCGTATCGTCCGAGACGGGTGATTTGTTTGCGTTCTCATTCTTTCGTTCTTAGTCTTCTTTTATTGCCACTCTTTTTTCCCATCTTACTAGTCTGCTCCGGATCTAGGGCCATTTATGTGTCAAATCAATGAAAGTCAGCTCTGACGTCACAACATCGCGACTGCAGGCCGGGCCCACTTTTTTAATGCGAGCTCTCGATAAAGCTAGCGCATGTTCTGACTTCGGCTGCGTGGCAGTAACAGGACCTCACAGTGTATAATTAAAACCTATGTAGCCTTCCTTTGGAACCGCCATAGCTCTTGAGAATTTGCGATGCTTGATAGTTCGACTGTACTTAATTTACGTTGAATCGAGCCGATGAGAAAGGAAATTATCGATATAATTCCCTATTCATGTGTAACGTACCTCAATAATGCTCTTGCCTTGATTTAAGCGGAATCAGTGGAAATAAATTTGAAGCTGCCCTTCAGTAGATAGTAAGGTAGCAGTAGAGATTGTGAAAGAATTCGTCCAGGGAAGTAATGCCATCTTACTTATTCCTACAGCCAAGCAGTAATGAGAGCATTATTGCGTTTCGCTTTTGAAGGGTAAGGTCGCTGGTGTAATTACAGGCACATGGGGCTTGACAACTTATGTCTCAATGTGACAGGCGCAGCGGCAATGCTCCTCAAATCCACTCAGAGCTTTATTCAACTTTATTGAACTGCAACTGTTATGGACAGGCGTATCGCTGTTATCAGGCGCACGACTAGTTCGTCCCGCTAGTTGATGTATTAAAAAAATAAAAAAATAAAGATAACGAACTTATTCGCTCGAACTAGTTTTGATGACGATGTATGTTTGTTTCGAAAATTGTTTCTATAAATTGCGAACGCTATACAAGGCTAACGTTGCATAAGCCTTGTATAGCGTTCGCAACTTATTTAGCTGTTCCTTTATGAAAACAGTATCCTCCTCCATCCTGTATCTGAAGATACACTACTAAGTTTAGCAATAGCCATTCTTGTGCATTTTGAACTCTACCTCACTCGATTTCTATCCCTGTTACTAAGCGAATGCCTTATGTAATCTCGTGAGTCATCTTTAATCATGTCGAATTAAAAAAATGAGACGAGAAAAACCATGATACGAGAAGATCGACATGTTCCATCACGTCTTAATTTTGTTGTTCTCAAGGAATTTCTTCGTATTTTACCATTTTTCATAATTTCGTCTTTTTCTGTATTATTTTAGTATTATTTTAATTAGTGTTATTTAATATTATTATTTACAATTATTTGCAGATAATATTTAATCGGATTCGTTTTTGTTTGCCTCTGTTTATGCTATTTATTTGTTTAAGGGTCGCCTGAACGAGTTACTTTGCGCAGTGCGGCTTCAGCGCAGCGCGAGTACCGGCGCGCCACTCGAGAGATACCATCTCGATCCGGGTATGGATTTTAATATTGTTTCAAATGACTTCACTAGTTAACATTGGCAAAAGAGATCTTCTAAAACCGAGGATAGAATTAGAAGGAAGTAAGAGAATCGTCGTTTCTTTTGCCTAAGTAAAGAAAAGTATTTTCTTGAGATTTTTTTAGCATTAGGCTTTTAGAGAAAATAATATATTGAAAGACGAAACTTCAAATACGTCACGCATACTATTAATTGCAATAGCCATGCAGTTTCTTTACGCTTTTCCAAAATTGCGTGGTAGCTTTATAGTATTGTATTGCAAAAATATAAGGTAACCTGCCGTCTGTTGTACATTAGCTTACTCTGTGATACTTACATTAATGTTCTGTGTTGTCGTTGTAATTTTAATGTGCAATAAAGAATATTTCATTAATTCATTCATTCATGTACGCCTACCCACGTCTGCAACACACAACTTCAGGAGTCTGTAAAAGATGTTGATTTGAAACTATGTCTTTGTGCATTATTTGTCGATTTTAATGTTGTGGAAGGATGTGACAGTCTTTTGACATATTGCTTGAGTTTCATTCATTCTATATTCACTCAATAATTTCAGTTTGATCCTCGCCAATAGTGTCTAGAGTTCATGACGTTAACCATTTTTACAGGTGCCCAAGAAGACGTGAAGCAGTTCCTCTCACTTCAACAACGCGGAATGGCGCATCTCATGGACACAGCAAAGAAGGACCTCGCCGCACTCAATACTATCGCGGAAGGCATGGCTCGACTGGTCCGGGGCTAGTCTCTTTCTAATAATCTTGTCTTTTTCCTTCTTTTGTTTTGAACGTACGGTTTAACACTTAAACGGATTCGTCATAGCATCTTTGCTAAATGTTGTGACACTGATGTGCACTTGTACTAAACTTAAGTAGGCCTTAAAGTAATGACTAAATTGATGAGACACTTAACACAATGTATTAAGAGTTTCTTTTGCATTGCAAGCAATGGTTTAAGATGTACTTAAGTTTACTGCAAGAGGACTTAAGTCAGCAGCCTTGTCAAATGGCATCGCCGTATGAAAAGAGTAAAGACAGACATTCTACTGACAATACAAAGATAAATGTTAAAACTCAACACTAGCGCATCGTTGTAATTTGTACGCCTTCACTTATTCATTCGAGCGCATTTGTGTTACAAACGTACGCGTAATATTTGGAATAAATATAATTAGAGACCGGTTGTTGAAGTTTATTCAATTATTATAATCTACGTTTGTACTCAATCGTATTGTAGGTAAATAAAATTAATTTCTTACAATGTTGATTTTTTTTGCGATGAATTGCGATTGACTTAAAACTGGTTAAATGTACACTCCCGGGTACATAATTCGTGCCACCTTGCTTTTACAGTATTAAACGCTCTAAGCAATGTGACGAAATTAGGCATATTAGGCACATGAGACTTGTCAAATTATGTCTCATGGTGACTGGCGCATTGGCAGTGCCCCTCAAATCTTAGCGGTTTAAAGCTATGAGTGGCATTGCAATTGTTGTGGACAGGCGTGTTACTTAACACCAGGTGCACTACTTGTTCGTCCTGTCACTTGATATTATAAAAAAAGCGTTTTATTGATTAAAAAGTTATGCAATTTTGAAACTCATGTGCTAAATGATATATCCATAAGTCCTTGCTTTTCGAAGATAACAACATTATGTGCCCGGGAGTACGTACGTTTGTCGAAAAAACCGATTAAGGGAGGGAAACAGGCGGAAACATTTTCAAAATTTTATAAATTAAACATTAAATAGACGCGTGGTCATCATCTCGCCTTGAATGCCTTTTTACTCTAGGCTTGAATAACCCCAAATTGTAGTTTTCGTGCAATGCCGATATTGTATTCCTTTTCCGAATTCCTCCCTCCTCCTCACTTACACTTTTGCTCTGCTGGATTGCATCCAGTATTTCGTTTCAAAATCCGTTACACGGCTCTGGTAGCCTAATGGTTTGACCTACCGTTTCTTAAGCAGAGGCGGTGGCTTCGAATCCGGCCTCTCACATCTGAGTTTATCGGAACTTATTTGCGAAATTGCATTTGGAATTTACCATGAGCCATTTTCTTTGAAACTTTACATTGCGACACGTTACTGCAAACAAAGCGTGAATTTACAAATTTTCAGAGAATGACGAGGCGTGTAAATATTAGCCACGTAGTGTCATAAAAGTTGGTATGTTGATAATATATGGTTGAATATGATGAACAAATGCGTCTTTCTTGTGTTTACTTTGACGGAATAAAAGATATCAGAATTACATAGCGCATAAAGACGGTGTGAAAGTTTTTCAATGAAAAGACAAAAGTAGTTATAATAATTTAATTAACTTAACTTTTACTACTTAAGTCTAGTGGCAAGTCTGTTTTTCTGACTAGGACTTCTATTGGCTTGTACTCTGATCGCTTTGTGCATATTAAATTCAAGGGCATATCCTGGTCGAGTCTTCTACTATATTGTACTTCCTTCATAACGATATCGTCCACTCTTGGTTTCTCTTCGTTACTGTATGCCTTCTCAATGACACTAGGCCTCAATACTGGATAGCTTGCATTTGTGTTATAGTAATTCCTGTATGTACGCTCATACATTTGCGTATATTCCATATATGACATTTCATGACTTGGTACTTTTGTAGGGTAAATTGGTTTAGGTCTCAGGTACGTTACTTGGTCATAGGGTAGGCGAATAATGGGGTCTGCGAGGGGTAAGATGGGGTTATATGGGGGAATGGTGGGTGATACTGGTTTAGGGGGACTGTAAGGTACGCGTAATGGTGACACTGGTTGATTAAAGTATACGTTTTCTCTTAAAGGTGAGAAGGGTTCTGTTTCCTTTGAGGATTCTCTCTTAGAGTCCTCGGTGACGAAGTGTTTATAAGTCTTGACGTGTTTTCTGAGGCTGGACGGATCTGTATAGCGTTTGTTGCAGCCAATAACTTTGCAACAGTAAGGCTTATCGACAGTGTGCGTACGCGTATGCTTAAAACGGTCGCTTGAGTTAGAATACGCTTTGCCGCAGCCCTGTTGACAAAGAAAAGTTGTTCAGTTTGACGCTATAGAGAAATGTCTATTATATGATAGAGCTGTTTTAGACGTTTTTTTAAAATTGTTATGCAATTATGAACGCAAACTGATGACAATGTCATCTTATTATGCAAGATAGGCCTCGTTCGTAAATCAGTGGCTTTACTAAAAGATTTTTGGGTAATTTTCCAGTTAGTTTTTTGTACATAATTTCGGTGGCAATTTTTATTATTAAGTATTCGAGTATATTATCGTGAAATATATAATAATATTTCAGGTTACTACACTCGAATATTAAATAAAGTATACTATTTAAATAATAAAAATTGCCACCGGAATTAGGTAGAGAAAACTTTATACTTTAACTTTATACAAATTGTACATTATAAAATTACTATGACTATGACGGCCTTATTGCGAAGTAGCAGTTACTTCTAACCAATTATAAGATGGAAATTGAAGAGTTGGAAAGGGGGGTGCAACCAAACAATAATTGTTTCAAAAATTAATATGCAGTAAATGTTCGTTAAAATCTGAGTATCAACAAAGTTTGCATAAATACAGTGCGATGATGAAAAAGATATTTACCTCATAAGGGCATACATAAGGCTTTTCTCCCGAGTGAGATCGAAGATGAATCTTCAGGTTTTCGGCTCTCGAGAAACTCTTGTTGCACTGGCTGCACGTGTGAGGGCGCTCGTTCGTGTGTGTACGCACATGCACAAGCATTTTGTACCTGGTGACAAGATAAACTTTGATTATTCATTTTGTTTATTAAACTCAATATGTGAGACTGCCTTACAAAGAGGCATTGCTGAATAAACTGACCTAAAAAGGAAGTATTGTTTTTATTGTTATCTTAGCCTTCATGAGACGATATGCTGGTAGATGTGCATCACCCTGAATGTGCTGAATGTGAATAAGTTTTTGGTATATTTCTGACCAGTTTATTTAAATGGGCAACAATATATTATTATTGTGCAACCAGAATATGCCAGTCTCCCAAAGGTGAACGAACAAACAAATACTCAAAGTTTCAGGCTCAATTTATCTATATATTTATATATCCATTGAGCCTTACTGTTGTAGTTAATTCCAAAACGTAAAAATAAAACGAACTGTAGTTATATTTTTAACCTGTTTACGATAAGCGTAATACCATTTTATATAATGATATAAAAATAGAAAGACCTTAAAAATATTTCCTTAATTGGAAGTCAACCTTCCAATTTGATATGTTTATTATTTTTATGATTTATCTATCTCAATGAACAAGGTTATAAGTTGTTTGCAATATGATTTAAAAAAACTCAATATTGGTATGTTATTCAAGAATACATGATTAAGATCTTAAAAACCAAGATAGCACTGTTTGTTTTGTAAATAAATTGTCTTATCCATGACACTATTTTCAACCTTCCACTTTTTGTTCGAATCTAAAGATGTTACTGTAGAAAACACTTACCGTGCATTAAATCCTCTCTGCGGGCGCGGACATCCCCGCCACCCGCAATAGAACATCCCGTCTCTGTGCGCAAGCGCATGTACGCGTGCCACGTGTGCGGATAGCCGTGCGATGCTCCCAAAGTGCGCCCCACACCCCCTCCAATCACATATGGAAACTTCTCCATTGTCTGCGCTTTCACGTTCAGGGGATGAACTTCCTGATGAATCTTCGTCTTCTGTCTGTAGATGAACGCTTTTATTAGTGCTTAATTTATCTAAAGCATTTAAGGGGTTGTTAATAATATTTTTATTTAGTTGTAGTTCTCTTGCCTTTGTTTTTAAAGGGACAACTTAAGCTTACTAATATCTAATAAAGTAAGTGAAACAAAGTAGGTACTATTAGTTTTTTTTATATACGGAAAATGATAGAATTAACGCAATTATCATGTAGGTCCTATAGATAAAGCCCTAAGTCTTGCACTGTTAGTATGTTTGCCTTTCATTTGAGTGCTTAATAAGAAATTACGGTTTCAAATTACGATTCACACCTGTGGCGGTAGTGGTGGTAGAGGGATGGAATGAGCGAAGTAAGGCGCAAATCTTTCCGCAGGCATCCACCGCTGCAGTCTGCAGCCCTCGCCGGTAAACTCCGGCCTCCATTGAGGAAAAGCCAACATTTCCAGTCACTACACTATGTATCTTATAACTATATCCAAACAACGCTATACTAGTCAAAAGTAGTACGGTCAGTGCGCGGTCGCAACGGACAATGATGGCTGGAGCTCACGCCGCCTACTTATAAAACGTCTCGGAATGACGAGTCACTGATAAGCGGACAAGACCCCTGCGAATTTCCACCTTACAACTCGTTTTCTATGATGTCGTAATTTTTTCTTTTAACTTCTTATATAAATGTAATTTTTAATACCATGGTCAAAATTAATTATAACATTTAATTTGATATTTTTTTAAAAAGGTCTCTTTTGCTGCTCGTGATACGATCAAAAATGGCTCGTTGTTGTTTGAATTGGATGTTCAGCTTAGTGTAGGGGCGTTATCAGTAGCCGCTTGCTGCGGCCGGCGGGCGGTTAATACCGGTGAGATAGTCCGCAGTTCAATAGGTGACTGATACAGCGCTATGAAGCGACCCCTTACTGGTTCGCCTCGTTTCTACTGTTGAGTCTTTTTTGAATTATGACTTAGCATTTCTTTATTCGTTAAAGGTTGATTTGAGATTTTTTGTTCCATACATAAATAAAGAACCTACACATCCTGTGTTTGAGGTCATGCATAATGCTCCATACCTTTACGATAACTGTTATTATAATAAAAACAGGACAGAGTACTAAAAAAACCGACCTCAACAGTCATTCATCCCCTAGCTTGTCACTCTTAGAGGTGGAATATTTTCTTCAAATGGGACCACATCTGAAGTACTCTCTTTCCAACAAAAAAAGAATCACCAAAATCGGTTCACAAATGTTGGAGTTACCGCGTAACATACACACAAAAAACATACAGTCGAATTAAGAACCTCCCTTTTTGAAGTCGTTTAAAAACGAATAGAACTGTAATATTTGGAACTCTTTGCTAATAACATTTTTAAAAAATCTGGGCATGTTCCGTTTATTATAACAATGTAGAAAATAACAATGACTTTGGACTTTTGACCGTCTGGCTGAATCAAAGCCCTACCTACCGGATCTGGTTATGTACCTATATGATTATGTACTTGTGTGATAACGATAAGCATTATCTATTACCACGATACCGGTTAACTGCGCATTTACCTAACTAAATTCCTAAAATAATGGTAGTGTCATGGTACAATCTTGACAATCAATTTGTCACTCTTATTTATTAAAAGTCAAGGCTAATACTTAGCAATGTGGCAAGAAGAAGATCCGTACCCTGCAAATGGCACGTATATAAGTTGATTTAAGTGCAGAAGCACTTGGATGAGTGCGTAGTCACATGAGCTGCATTCCCACTACTTTCCCTATCTCTATTTCTCTCTCAATTGTTATTTTGCCGTTGAAATGCAGTTCCAGCGACTGCAACCTTACACAAACAAATTGAAATGTTACAAATCAATTAGAAAATATTTATTCATTCAAAAATAAATTAATTACAAATGTCAATTCGCAACGTAGGCTTCGTCAGATAGCAAATAAAAATCAGCAAAACGCTTCGTCACATAAAAATCAACAACGTAATTCGCCAGGTTGTTAATTTTATTTAATTATAAGACTGAAAAAAGACCGCTCTAAGTCGTAGCTGAATGGCCGACGACCCAATTCCCCCTGCTGAATTCCTTGGTCTTCGCACGTACTTGGCATGTTTCAATTTTGCCGCATACTCCGCAGCCGACTCAGCGGATCTGATGGTGTAACTCAGGTGGGACGGTTCAAACGTACTGGCACATAGCGTCAAAAGGCACCGACCTTTCTGCCATGGAACAAATGTAAGTAAGAATTCTTGCCATCTGTACGGCACAACCCCGGAGGCTCCAAGAGGCAAGCCACGTTAGCCAATACTAAAGCCCGGCGAACTAAATAATTTATTCCAATTCAATATGTTTAATGTCTTTATAACGCAAGCGCTACATTTGTTTCTATTTCTGTTTCCTTAACGGCGGCCACTAGGCAGTGTTAGTTTCGACTACATTCGTTACTTATAGCCTTCTTATAGCCTATCGTGAAGCATACATACTTAATGTCATGTTTTAGTTGGCAGGTACACAAAAATAAGTTTGTCTTAATGAATAAAAAAATTCAATATATTATTTTTAACAGTAGAAACCTACACGGTGTAATTTATGAAAAAGGATGTATGGGAGGATATTCACAGCGAGTAGGTCTCAGGATGAACCTGGACAAAACGAAAGTTATGTTCAACACACATGTGACCCCGGGACCTGTAACCGTAGATGGGGCTACTCTTGAGGTTGTGCACAATTACGTCTACCTTGGCCAAAATGACCAGCTTAGCAAGCACAACTTCGAGAAGGAAGCCGACAGGAGAATTCGTTTGGGCTAGGCGGCATTTGGGAAGCTTCGCAACATCTTCAGGTCGTCAATCCCACAAAGCCTAAAAACTAAGGCATTTAACCAGTGCGTTCTACCAGTTATGTCTTACGCAGCCGAGACGTGGACATTAACAACAGGCCTCGTCCACAAATTCAAGGTCGCTCAGCGTGCGATGGAGCGAACTATGCTTGGGCTTTCTGTGATGGACCGATGA